GCTAATTACGAAACAAATATCTGAGACAATTTCTGTTTTGTTTTATACCATTCGCAATATGATTGCTATAATATTCACCGACAATAAGAATATGTAAAAACGTATTATTCACTGACTTGTGATAAAAGTTATGTTTTTATTAGTAGTTAAAGACTTGTGCACTAATTCGTAGGACATGGAAAATGCTCACAACAAACTATTATATAATTCAACAGTATGTATAATAGTGTGTGTATGTAATAACTCAATCAACTTTTTTGTCTGTAATAATAATAAGTCATTCAAAGGCTAAATCATACGGAGAGGGAGAGAGAGAGAGAGAGGGAGAGAGAGAGAGAGAAAACTCGCGTAAAAACAAAAACAATTTTTCATCGGAAGTCATAACAATTTCTAACAATAAAACATTGAGAAAATATATATATAAGTGTTAGTTATATAACTATAAAATAATTTTGGTAATAAATATTATACGAGGGCTTAAGTTTCGGATAATTTCACTTTATGGACAAATAAGTTTTTGTTTTGTTTTGTTTAGGACTTACTTTCGCTATATTACACCGTATACTGACTCACAAGTATATATTTATGTCTAAATTGTTGAACATTTAACTGATTTATTGCTTTTAACTAAATTTTAGATATTTTTTGGGAAATGTTTTAATATAACTTATATTACACTATCTATTTCACTAGATTATAGTGTATGAGTATTTATTTTAATAGAGAGTAAGAGTAGTATTTTTAATGAAAGTCTGTGATAATTTTTTTTATTATATCTACCATGGGTTGGGGTCCTATCGATATATTATAGTAAACCAAAAGAGTGGTAGCACTTAATTGCAGGTGCAAAACCAAACTATCATTCAATCAACATACTTATGACCAAAATTTTCTGTAAATTGAGTCCAACTTTTAGAGAGAAAGAGAGAGAGAGAGAGAGAGAGAGAGAGAGAGAAATGGGAGTATTTTCTATGTGTTATTTGTTTAAAACTTTTTTGTGAACTAAAAGTTAAACCTTATCAAGGTTCGTGAGAATTGAAAGTAAAATTTAATTAAGAAATTTATACAATTTTTATGTTGTTTTCCTTACTATAAAGAATAAGAAAATGCCTTTTGATGTGTCTTTTGATTATTTCAGAGAGAGAGAGAAAGAGAGAGAGAGAGATTTGACATTTAAGATTCTGTTTAAAGCGTTTAAAAATAAATACATTTCACAGTTTTTTATAAGTTCTCATATATCGTATATAAAGTAATATAGTATATGAGATATTTTAGTCGATAACAAACTTTTGATTTTGGCGTTTAATCCCTACTTATGTGTTGTGTTGAAAGACTGAAATATGAGGGCATTTCGTATAATTTCAAATAAAATCAAGTATAATTATTAACAATAAATTTTAATTTTCATTAATAAAAATTAAAGTCAAAGCTAAAGCGAAAAATAATTTTCTAATAAAGCTCTCTCTCTCTCTCTCTCTCTCTCTCTCTCTCTCTCTGAAATAATCAAAAGACACATCAAAAGGCATTTTCTTATTCTTTATAGTAAGGAAAACAACATAAAAATTGTATAAATTTCTTAATTTCAAACTTATTATAAGTTTTTCTCAATCCAGTGATAAAGCAATTTAGTGGTCGGACTCGAGTCGTGAAATGTTTACACCATTTATAAGAAGTTATTTATTGAACGTCTTATAATGACTTATAAATGAAATGATTTCTTTTCAAGTGATAAGTTTTTATTTTGCATTCATCGCTGAAAATATGTTTATGTGTCTGAAAATCGCGAGAAAATGTCTTTATTTTTCTTTATAACGAAAAGCGTTTAATTGAAATGGTTTTCCATTAAATATAAATTGTTTCACATTTCAAGTCGAGAATTAAATCGTCATATTTTTGTCAATGTTTTTTCGTTTCATCTGTTTTTTTGTTGTCTTTTGTGATAAAAACTTTTTATGTAATGCTTATTATAAATGAGTTCTTCACTCGTTTCGTGAGAATCAGTCACTTTTTAAAGGAGTTTACATCACTTCCAAAGCCATGAGTAACTGATCTCTCATACGATTTAATTAAATAAAATCTTTTTTGTTGTCTTTTTTTAGTTAAGGACTATGAGATTGAATACAAAGTGTTATCTGAACGGATATCAAATGTATATGTATTTCGACACAAATGCCACTGTATTCTCGGAAACACTATTAAATCATTATTCTTATGATTCATTTATTTAGGTTACAATACAATTGCAGATTAGTTTTTAGGATCTTAAGTATATCAGTGGGCATTGGCTATGAATGCGAGTGTATGTCCTATTAGGATATGATGATGAATATCAGGGAAACTATAGTTTGGTCTAAAAAATAAAAATTCCTAGAGTTGGCTCATAATTGGCAATCCTTTGCCTGAGAATAGGATGGGAACCTACTCTGGAGTGTTGCTGGAGAAATATGTATGAAATGCATGCTTTGTTAACGTGTTTTTTGCGCAAAAATTTCACACAATTTATGCTCGACTTCTGCCACAATATGACATGAATTTACTCATTGAGAGAATACTTATTTCCATTGACTAATATTTGGTTTGGATTTCAGATATAAATAGTCAAAACGAAAAAAGTTTTAAGTTTTTTAAGTTGAGAGCATAAAAATATTTGGAGAGAGAGAGAGAGAGAGAGAGAGAGAGAGAGATGACATGAGACCGAGTGTGCAATGTGTGGATCAACGCCTTCGCAATTCTTCTCAGTCTCGCAAACAGTGATTGTGATGGTTATGATGGCTGTGATGGTTGTGGCGCTTGTATTGGGGATGAGATGCCATATTCCAAGAGATCCATCACTGGAGGCATGACATGAGCGCAGGGGTTACGCAACACTGCATATCAAGTATACTGTACTGCGAGTGTATATCCGACACATGAACAGACATATAATACATATTTCAAAATATGCTTTTGTATGTGTCTCTCATTACCTCCTCATATACACACAGTCTCTCTCTCTCTCTCCAAATATTTTTATGCTCTCAACTTAAAAAACTTAAAACTTTTTTCCTTTTGACTATTTATATCTGAAATCCAAACCAAATATTAGAATTGCGAAGGCGTTGATCCACACATTGCACACTCCGTTTGCATACAAATGCTGGTCTCATGTCATCTCTCTCTCTCTCTCTTATACACACAATCTCTCTCTCTCTCTCTCTCTCCCTTTCTTTCTTTCTGTCAATGATTGTAAATGTGAGCCAAAACTGATTTACGCAAAACATCGTCAAAACATTTAAGTATTTCCAATAGAATTCAAACAGAACTGAAAAAACTTTCTAAAAAGAGTGCAAACTATTTGAGTATTCACTTGATTTCAATGTTGTGTCGACTGGTCTCAAGAATTTCCTTATTATTGGTGTCTTTCGGTTCAATAATACGATTCCCCGGTATTTGTGTGGCTGTCATCACAACAACTGATTCTCGTGTTTGTCGTGTCATTTGATTTCAATCTCGAAAGAAAACTTTTATTTCGTTGAAAACAATGTTTCCCTCGACTTGTGTTACACTTCTTATTAAACTCTCTATTACATCAAAATTCATGTCTTGTATATGTCTTAAGAAAAAATCTTTGTTCAAAAGTCTAATACATTAACCAAGACTATTGAATGCATATAAATGTCATTATAATCTGGTTTTTGTATTTACAAGAAAACTCAATCAGAAAACAAGTCATTGATTGGAATGAGAGCCCAAATAAAGTCATTGCTATAAAATGTTTGACATTTTATTTTTATGCAAATTTCCTGGTTTTAGGAAAAACATAAAAATCAAATAAATTATAAATCATGTTTAGCATTGAATTTAGGCGAATATATACACAACCATCTCATGGCTACACAGAGCCGTGTATTTAAAGGTAATAAACAGGACTCCGAACGATGGAGGAAAGGGAGGAAAGGGAGGCAAAGATAGAAAGAGAGAAAAAAGTTTTCAAAAAGAAATTCTTCTCATTTGAATAAAGGAAAAAAATTTGCGCACACAATATGTTAGCGATAGTAAAGCCACCAAAAAAGCAATAGAAAGACAGAAACAAATTTTAGATTTATTTGAAACACTCTTTTTTCTTATATACACCAAAATTGTCACAAAACCCAAACCTCTAAACACTAAAAAACTCTTAGACTTTGTGGTGAAAAATAGTCAAATAAGAGCTGAATTTCAAGAGCACTGCGAGCCCTAAACGCCGGGTCCTCAGTGTGTGTGAGACTGTCTCGTATAGACTGAGCGAAAGGCATACAAAACATACCAAACCTATTAATAATGTTCATCAGTGCGCGAACGGATAGTATAAACGACCGAATGATTTATAATATTGAGTTTTTTTCGCTCTCTTTTTGCTATGAAGTGAGGAATAGATATCACAGCACAACATGAAAGTGAGTGCTCTCTCGGTCTCTCTCTCTCTCTCTCTCTCTCTCTCCCGGAGTCTCCGTGAATGTCAAACTAAACACTGTTTGAAAGGGAATCTTAAAAACTGTTGAACACTTTAGTGAACAGTGAACCTAAACGTGCGATAATAAGCCCTCACTCTCACTACCAACGCCTGCCTGTGCTCTCCTATTCCCAGAACTTTGTAAATAAGAGCACAATATTACAAAATATTTACTCTACTATACTTTCAACAAATTCATCCAGTACATTCAATACAGTATAGTAACTCGAAAAATCAGGTGTCAATGCATAAGGGATTGTATTTCCACATTTTTAAAACAAATAGTTTAATTAGCAATCAAAAAATCGCATTAATATTATTAATGGGGTTTTTATATACAATTTTGTAAAGTGATTTATAAGTTATTTAAAATTTAAATATTCATAGGTTTTAAATATAATATATATATTTCAATAAAACACATATTTCCAATAAAATAATATATAAAATTAATATATATAATCATTATAATATGCTTATATAATATAATAATAAATGTTTAATAATTATAACTTTATATATAGATTTGTAACATTTATTTAATAATATATAGAGAGTTAAATCAACGAATTATTTATTCCTAAAACTTATTAACTTATTATACGGTATATCGAGAACCGTTTTGTTCATTTGGTTATTAACTATACATTCATTTCAAATGGAAGTGAAGTCTTGAAAGTCATTAAAGAGACGATAACTCTGTCCACACGTCCCATAAACTGTTGCAATGGTATTAGAGTTGAGTTCTTAAGTTGTTTATAATATAATAACTGATGTTTTGAGTAATCATTGAATGGAAGTCATTGAGTGAGCGGTCAATCGAAGTGTTGCCAAGAGTTGGACGTCTTGAACGGATTACTAGTGTTGGCGTTAGTGGTGGAGAGTGTGGTCTGCACTGGGAGTGCAGGCATGAGATTAGGCTTTTGTGCGCCACTTGTAATCTGAGCCGACGACCAGTTGATCATATCTGACAACGAATATGTGGTTTGTTTAGTGTTTGTCTGCGATAAGGCACTGGCATTGCACCCACTGTTGCCTGTGCTGGCACTGGCGCTCGTCTGGGCCACCACTGCTGGCAACTGACCCAATCGGTCAAAGCTATTCTGCGGACGACTGTGACTCTGATTGTCCACCAAAAGGAAAGGGTTGACCGGATTTGCATTCGTTAAGGGCTTTGGGCATACATTTGGCACAAATGACGATACATTCAATCGGAAGTCATTTGCTTTATTATTGTTATTCATGTTATTATTATTGCTGTAATTATTCGACAATGAATTCCAAGAGTTTCTGATCGCCTGGAAGTCTGTTTGGGGTTTGAGTTCCGGTGGCTTCACTTCAAACAACGGGTCAAATATAACATTCGCGTCCTGTTTCAGGTCCTCGTCCGGCGGAGTGTCCAACTCTATGAGCGACGCCTCTTTGCCATCCCTGTCCTCCAGGAATGGCTTCGTCTTGCGGTGCACTTGACTTCTTGGCGGAGGAATGGGTTTCGCGATGAATGAGATGGCATTGGATTGCGAGGAATTAGAAGAACTATTTTGGCTGCGAATCGATTTATTAGATTTACTGCTATTCGATGACTCGTCGGTCGATGACTTCTTGTGGAGGAACTCCTTCAGCTCTCCCATCAAATCGATTTCGATTCTGTCGAAAGTCAACATCTCGTGCGAGTGCTCCGAATCCACGTCCGATACCTCGGGCGAGGCTTCCGGTGCCACCGACATAGTGGGCGCCGACGTGGACGACACCGATGAGAGACCGTTAGTGACCGACAATGACTTTGTGAACCCGTTTTGTAAACGACTGATGGCTGTGCCATTGGATTCACTGCTGCTGTTGGAAGTCTTTTGGCGGACATATGTCACCGTTTTGTCTGTGGTTCCGATGACATTACCACTAATACTCTTCTTAATACTTCCGCTCAATTTCTTAATGGGAAGCGTAGGACTCGACGGCGCGCTCGACGTCTTGTGCGCTCTATAGTCACCGGAAGACGACTTCTGAGTATTGTCCGCATAATTATACGTCCGCTCGTTGTTCTGCATTTTGGTCTTCAGATCCCTATATGTCTGACGACTCCTGTCTTTGACTTGTCTGTAGACAGACTTCATCCGAGGGTTGACGCTCTTGAGTATAGCGCCGCCCTCTTTGCGCATCGCAGCCAACCATTCTCTGTACTGAGTCTTAAGCCGATGAGTGCTCTTGTCTTCATACATATTGAGCTCGAACTCGAACTCATCGCTAAAGCCCTCGCCATTGTTGAGCATTTCGAGCCTCCCTTCGATGAATTGGCGGAATATCTGCAACTGAAGCATCTTCTCGAGGAATGTCTGCACTGATGGCGAACGCGAGGACACGAACGCCTCGTAGTTGAAGCTAATCTTCTGGCCCGGAGTGAACCGAAGGGCGTCCCGATAGCAGCCGATCAGCGACACCAACGCCCGCAGGAAGGAACGGGAGACCACATCGCCCAGCATTGACATCGACATCGGGTTCCGGAGACTCTTCTTGAGCGTATGCACCTGTGGGTCGGCACACAAACGTACAGTCAGTTCAATAGATAGCTAAACAATAGGACATACGATGTCTGTGGGCAGCGTCTGGACGTCATCGAAGGGCGACTCAATCTTATTGTCGTCGCAGTCGAGTATCACAATGTCTCCCAACTCCGAGCGCCGGACCCTATTCATGATGGCTGAGGGCACGCCTATGAGGAAGGGCATGGGAGCGCTCAGGTAGTCGATCAGATGGTTGGGTAGCACGGGTATGAAGATGTGCTGCCAATGCATGGGGTATATGAGAGAGTTGGCCGCCTGGACGCAGGCCGACAGTCGACTCAACTTCTTGGACGTCATTATGATTCGCCTCTCGTTCAGCATATTGGCGAAGACGACGATCATATTAGAGGCGTCGATGGCGTTGAAGTATTCCGTGAGATTGCGGTCCTCGGGAATCGACGGCAGTTTGTGGTGATCGGGACACTGGGCGCAGAACTCCTTCACACCCGGCATACCGTCCATACAGTAGGTGACCACGAGGTCGAGGCCCGGCTGCGGGACCTCCGACTGGTAGATGGCCTCCAAGAAGTTGGACGTCGTTTTGTGGCGGTTGTTGGCGTCGAGCTCGACGTGGGAGCGGATTTCGGCGCAATGGTTGAGCACCTTATAGAAGGTCGAGTGCCAGGGCAGGGACGATAGGATCACTTGAGAGGTCGAGTGGTGGGGCGCCAGACGACAGAAGCCGAACGTCCACTTGGAGTCCACGGCCGTCAACACGAACGAGAAGTGGGTGACCGTCTCCACGTCCACAGCGCACGGGTAGGCGAACTGCGGCACACACCGCAGGATCTCCTGTTGCGAGTAGTGCTCCGGGTATTTGCGAACCACTGATGACACCGACGACGAGTCCCCATTGGTCGCCACAGTCGTGGCAGACGGCGACCGGATCTCCAGATAGCACTCAAACACATGCTTTATATCGCTGTTTGTCCTGTCATTGGGTCCGTACAGACA